CCCCTGCCCTGTCCCCCGTCCCCACACTGTCCCTGTCCCCTCAGCTGGCCGAGGTGCACGGTGTGCCCCGGGGGATGTACGACGGGCCGGTCCATGAGGTTCCTGTGAGTGTCAAGGCCGTGGTTCCCAGCGCAGCGTCRCGGATCACACCCAGCGCCGGCAAAGCCGCGGCACCGCCCGTGCGCAACCTGCACCAGTCCGGCTTCAGCCTSTCCGGTACGTGGGGCAAATYGGGCTGGGGATGGGCTGAACARTGGAAACTTCAGTTTGGCTCTGTAGGAAAGCAATTCATCCTCTGGCAAGCGCAGCACAGAAAGCCCTGGAATGTTCTGCCACATTGATATCAATGCACACAGCCTGGCAGGGGCTCTGTTTCCAGGAACCAGGCAGTGATTGAGCATCGTTCATCCTGCAGAAAGCTGCCCAGCAGTCGGGAGCTTGGAAAGCCAATGCTCTGCTCCAAAATGACTTGCATGGTGGTTTTTTAGCTGTTTGTATCAGGTTTTATCTCATCTTGTTTGATAAATGTTACAAGGCCCCACATTTAATTTTATACAAACTTTCTAGAAAAGCCATTTATAACATTTTCCAGAAAGAAGCAATTAAAAATGAAAAAGTTCTGGCAAATACAGCCATTCCAAACTGTGCTATGCTAGTAGAGTACCCAAAGTGGCATGAAATGAAATTACTGTTATTTTCCCCTGAGGAAATGTGTTAAGGTTGAAGTGTTTAAAGCAGTGCTCTGCCCGCTCTCTGCTCTCCCCAGGGTCACAGGCAGATGACCACATTGCCCGGCGCACGGCGCAGAAGATCATGGCCCCGCCGGGCGGGAGGTCCAACATCACCCCGTGTCACTGACGCTGTCCCCGTGTCACTGACGCTGTCCCCGTGTCACTGACGCTGTCCCCGTGTCACCGCCGCTCCCGTCCCCGCTGGTCCTGCCGGGACGGGCCAGTGGTCCCTCTGTGCAGGAGGACAAGCAAGCCAGGCTCATCCCTTGTCGGTAGAAAGTAGAGTGATCCCCGAGGTAGCAATCCCAGCTCCGTTCTCCTCGTGCTGCTCCAGTGCTGCTGGGAAAGCCCTTCCCTGTGCATGCGGTGTGCCCGGGCAGCGGGGCCGTGGGGCTGAGCTGGAAATGAAGGCACGTCCTGGCTGGATCACGCTCTTTTCCAGCGGCATCCGCTGCCCGCTCTCATCAGAGAACCTCCACGAGGAGCACTTCCATGGTTCCCACAGAGTCAGTGCCATCCCACTGTGCCAGAGCTCCCGAGCAGCCCT